AGTACCGAAAAGGTCAGAAATTTTCTTAGCTTAATTACTTTAATAAATTTTATTCAAGATAATTTCACCATAAATAAGTGTTGCCTTGACTATGATAAATTTTTCTCAGCTGTATTAGCTACAGATTTTTTAAAATCCTGTAAATAGTGCTAAAGTATTAAAATACACACAGGGTTGCACACAGACTACTGAAATGCGACTATTTGCTACTATTCTCGGCCTTAGGTGACTATGTCGACTTTTTTTGCCTGAAAAGGCTAAAAATACTTTTTAGCCTTTTCAATAGTAATACTTTGGCTTAGTAATACTTTTTGCCTGAAAAGGATAAAAAAGCAACTATTTTCGTGAATAGGCGACTATTGGGAGACTTTTTTACTCTTGGCAAATTTTTTTCGAAAAAATGAATGTTACTTTCCAGTCCCCTCACTAACACGTACTTATTGCCGCCTACCATGTGCGTAGTGCAGTTAAGACAAATAATTTTTTTAAAAAATTAAATAAAGAGTTTAGTAATGTTTTGACGCTTTTTAATAATTTAACATTAGTAAAGTATTTTTTTTTTAAATTTTTATTAAAATTCTTCCAATACTTGTTTGTTTTATATTTTTTCAGATAGTCAGTATCATTTTTAAACAAATAAATATTTAGTCGATTTTATTTTCAGAAAAGGAAATCATTAAGAAAAAATATTTTCACATTTATTACAGAATTTGGCCATTAGTCAATACTACTTTTTATTATTTTAAATAATTAAATAAAAAAGGGTCTAATGATGTTTCAAAAGCATGATTTTTTTTTCAACAAATAATTTTAAAAAAATATTTTTTTTTTCTAAAGTGAACATTTCTTTGGTTTGTTTTCCACTTTCAGTTTTTTCTTTTAATTTTTAATTTATTTATGTAAAATATTTTGTTACAGTATTATTATTTTTGAACCAGTAAATCTTAAATCATTTTTAATTTAAGAATAATGAAAAAAAACTTGGATTTGCTTTTACTTTGACTTCTTTATTATTTTAATTGAAAATATTAAGCAATGATATTGATGTCATAGTGAAATTTGTTTAGAATTAGTATTTTCCTTTGTAATCGATTTATTTCTTTTTATTTCTTTTTCATTGATTTAAAGAATTGCCATAGGTAATTTTTGAACATATGCTAAATTGCGATACATCGCTATATAGCGATGTATCACGATTTAAAATTTCTGACATCACCCAGTCCTAATCATAGTATATGACAAATAAGCTATAATTTTAGTTAGTTGGCTACTATTTTTTAATAAATTTTTGACCCTGTTCAGGCAACTATTTTCGTAGTTTTAGTCAACTATTTTCCTTCTTGAGGGTACTATAAGCAACTATTTTTGTTCATTTTTTGCTGTGGCAACTATGTACACACAATTTAGTACACACTCAATTCACTACAATTTCAAAATTCGACTGTTTCATGAATATGTTGATTGCTTTTTTCAAAATTTGTGGTGATCTATTTTCGCATGGACTTTAAAATTGATTTTTGTAACATGATAGCACATGAAATCCAGCTTGTCTCTAATTTGAAATTATTTTAAACTATTTTTTTCTTATTATGAGTTTTAAAAAGTCCAGATTTTTTAGGCTATATGCTACATAATATTTTCTGCATGTATTTTTCATACATGTTTTAAATAAATTCATACTCAATGCTATCTAGGAGAATGTGAATGTGATGCCACAATAGGCATTACATATTTCCTATCTTTTAAAATTTCTTTAATTTCTTAAACTTATTTTTTGAATCATTATTAATCAAATTTTAATTAAATTAAACCAGTTATTTAATTTTTGTTACATTATATATAAAGCGAATATAAAATATTTTATTCTTTTCTTAACAATCAATGTAAATTTATTTCAATACTAATGTAAGACTCATTAATTCACTGTCACGACTAAATCAAAAACCTATTTGTAACTCTGTATTTCTTACCCCAAAAATGTTTCAGTTACATGGTCATACTAATTCTCTTTTTAAGCAATTCACTTTCGTCATTCAAATTTAATATTGATTATGGGGAATTGTCTTTATTTTTAGCTACGTTATCTTTTGATAAATTGCCAACCATGAATCTCTTCCCATGCTCCTAACTGTCCGTTGAGAACAATTACTTTATTTTTAATTTTGAATTATTGGGGATTGAACTGGAGGCATCAGCGTCCGAGTTCCAACAGCTGAATGTCTATGTTAACAGAAATTCTAGATGTTAAGAGAAGGATTTTTTTTATACCTTTAAGGAACTTCTTGCCTTTATTTTTATAATTTTGCTTTTTATCAATTTAAGTTTTACCTAATAAATTAATTTTTTCTTAACGATTTTACTCATTTTTCTGGGATAAAAATCCCTACATCATATCCAAAATAAGATGCATCTGAAACAGCCATAATACAGGGTTATTCCTAATTCCCTCCGGGCAGAAACTGGACCCATCGCATTGATGTATGCCGTGTGACCAAGGGTTCACACATAGAAAACCTGTAATTTATGCAAGTAAAACTTGAATAGTTTCGGAATAATTTCTTTTTTTTCATATTCGTCTTCTTTTTTTTACTATAACGCTTCAAAACCCCGTAGAGAATTATGAATAATCCTGTACTTCAATCCTGCAAAGAAACTGCATCCCATTAACAACTATGGTCTAAATTTGCTACTATAGTGACCAATGGCATTTCTTTCTCTCTATTTTTCATCTTAAAAAAATTATTTAAAGAAAAAAAAACTTACATTTATTATAAGAAATGTACAATTATATCTTGCTTTAAGCAAATTAAAATAATTCATATATGTGAAGCACTGTTAAGGATTAACAAGGATCACTGTTAAGGATTAACAAAATTTAAAATAGGTATTGAGGTCAATTTTTTCATATACTTCTAGGGTTTCTATAAAGATACTGTGAAGTTTGTTTTTGATAGCCGAAATGAATGTAAAAATTTTTGGAAAAAGTGCATTGAAAATCACGAATTTTTTCGATGTTCCGATGCAAAGCAAGGAATACGTATGAAACCCAAAATTTTCAGCAGAGGATCATCCTTCAGGTACGAAATGTTCTTTGTCTCTGAGAAATTGTGTTTGCATGACTCATCAAGTACACAAATTTCTTTATTCTAAAGAGCATGAATCAAGCTCAAATACAGGTACAAATAGGTACAACAGGTACATAACAAGGAGACCAGGGAAAACCTGGAAAATTCAGGTAATTTAAAAATCATCAAAATTAACAGGGAAAATGCAGGGAATATTGAGTTTTTTTTCTTTTTTTTTAAAAACTGGAAAAATACAGGGGATTTTGTTATTTATTTTTGTCTTTTAAAAAAATGGTGACCACTCCAAGGGCAATCTATGGGATATTTAAGGAAGATATTTTAGCTGTACTAGACTATTTTATTTACTATAGCATTATTTAAGTATGTTCAATAGTTTTTTTTTTACTGTAAATTTTTCCAGCAATTAAAACAAGTATTCTTACTCCAATATAGCTCATACAAGAACACAGTAATTCTTTCCTCTTAACAGGGAAAACACAGGGAATTTTTTACCAAATTTGAGTGGCAACCCTGTATAAGCAAGAACCTTTATTAGTATTGGCTAAACCATACATTTTGTGTTCAGACACTGAGGAAGGTTCTTGTTTGTAGAATTAAAACTATAATATACTCATTTCTGCACCTATATTTGGGCTTTATTATACGCAGCACAAAGTATGCTCTATCCTCTTTTGGATTACCTTATTGTTTATACCCATATATAGTATGCTTATTTCTATTCTATATTTGGGTTCTGGATATTTAAGGATGATATTCCAACTATTTCATTTACTATAGCAAAGTATGTTCAGATGTTCCTTTCTTTCTCTAATTTTTTCCAGAAATAAAATCTAATATAGTTAGTCCAATACAACTCTCACAAGAGCACAGTAATTGTGTTCTTAATATATTGTGTATAATGTGTACAGGGAATTTTTTTCCAGATTTGAGTTTCAACCCTGATTTAGTTACTTTAACCCACTGGCGGTTAAGTAAATGGGTAAATTTGGGAAAATGTTTCTCCCCCGTACACAATCCCCCTATCTATTTACATGGAAAAACCGGTTTTTCTATGCAGAAAAGACTGCATCTATGCAGAAGACTATCATCCCTCTAGGCCCTGGCTGACCCAGAACCCAGTTCCAAACTCATAGAAGAGATCAAAAAAAATTGGAATAAGAACACTATTTTGAACTGGGTAAAAGCACATGTGGGGATCCAGGGCAATGAGGAGGCAGACAGGGCAGCAAAGGAAGCCATTGGTTCTGACAGTGTGGATCTCTAGGTTCTGAAGACCCCCAAACAAACTAAAACCGAAATCAAACAATATTTAATGGCAAGGTGGAAAACCAATTGGGAAAATTCTGAGAAAGGCAGACATACATTTAAATTCATTTAGACCCCGTCAACTACAAGGTTGCAAACTAATTTCTATTTTAACCAATTTCTGACGGGACACGGAGTGTTCGGAGTACACCAAAACAAATTTTTTAACAAATCAGATACTTGCTCAAACTGTAACCAAAGACAAACCATAGAGCATCTCTTATATAATTGTGATCGGTACCGAACACTCCGAAAAAATTATTTCTTCCAAAAAACAGACCAACAAATTTTTACAGACAAGGTCTGTAGAGAAATTATCAAGATTATCATTAAAACTACTCTTGAGGAACAAATGGAATTAATAAACAAAATTGACAATAACTAAAATTTTTACCTGCTTAATCTAACCACCTTGCCAAAACCTTTTTTTTTTGGACCACATTGCCATTTTAGTGTTTTAATTTGACTTTTAACTTGACTTTGCATTTTATACATGCTTTAGGTTTGTTTACAACCTTTGGATTTTAATACATTTGGTATTTTACATTGCGATTGTATTTTATACACGGTTTTTAGATTGTTATACACCCCTTTTAACTCTTACCTTTTAGTATCTATTGGTATTTTATCCTCTGTTTTTTGTACTTTAATTGAATTTACTCTGCTTTACTTGTTGTTCTTCATTTTGACTACCTGTTACTACTTCACCCTCACTATTTTGGTTCCACCAGCAGGATTCAAGCTGGCCTGAGTGGCTGGATCCTTTCAATGCCCTATTGGCAAGTGTATACATCTGTGACTTTGTCTCAGTTTTAACTTTTCAATTTTAGCACTATATTCATTTATGTCATTTTATCCTTTCACCTTTTGGCGGTTTTATGAGCTGTATTTACAGCTGTTTCTGGTGAATTGTTAGATTTTTTGTCTTGTATTGAGGGTCCACCAGCTCTGGCTCACAGCTCACTAAGTTTTTACTGGTTGTCTCATGGCTCATAATTTTTGTATTTTATATATATATATATAATTTTTGTATCTTATTTATATAAGGGTCTGTTGACCTTTTAAATGATCCATTGTATTTGGCGTATGGGCCTATTGGCCTAGGCCGCTGTATATATAATAAATGCAGAGAAGACTGCAGGTTAAAATGCGACTTTTTATGTGCAGAACCGTCAGTGGGTTAAGTTGCAGTGTGTAGTAGGGTGTACTGGGCAAATGTATACTGGGCTAGCTCAAAGAAACTTATTATTAAATGACTACAAATAATTTAATTTTAAGATGTTCATTTATACTAAAATAAATTGAGTGTTGACATATTCTCAGCTATTAACTAATAAAACTTTGTTTATGCTTTATTAATAAATTAAAAGTGATTATAAACATTTCATTTTTGAATTATTACTAGGATCGTGTTTAAATTTTCGAACTACAGATATAAAAATTTAGTCTATTTTTTAAAAAATAAAATAAGTACCGAAAAACAAGAAATGAAAATAAAACCATGCATGCACAACCAAATTTAATTTAATGAACAAATCACTTTGTTACACAATGCAAATGTTGCATACAAATATTTTTTTTATTTCCTTAAAAGGTTAATATATTCATAGTTCTAGAAATTCTTTGTTTGAGGCAATTTATGATCCTAAATCAAACAAGGAATTGATTCCTTAGTTCTTGGTTATTCTGTATTTTCTTGAATTTTTATTTATTTATTGCTTGATTGTTTTATTTTGCATTTTTTGTTTCATTTCAAATGTTTTGCTTAATAAGTTTTATATTCGTTCCAATTTTTTAGTGTTCTTCACTCTATTGTATTGATATATTTTGCTTTGACGATACTAATACAATATTAGAAAGCACCATTTTTTTTTAGGATTTGATCGTGTGAGCTGATGACAAGTTTATATCTTTTCCTTATTTCATTTTCCAACTTTTTTTTAATTAAAAACTTTTTTAATTTAAATTTTATTTTCGAATTTGAAAATATGTTTCAAAAACATTTTTAATAATTATTTTCCTCTCCTTTAAAAAATCTTTATATCTTTTGCCATGTTTTCTCTATATTTTTAACATTTTATTTCATTTTACTGATAAAAGCTTGCTTATTAATTTTATGCGCTTATTTAAAATCTAAAAATGCATGTTTTTAATTATGAGGAGAAGTTAGCTTGAACAAATTGAGAAGTCAAAAGAAAAGCACAAAATAAAAATAACTAACATAATTTCTTTTGTTAATTTATCACTTGCATTTTTTTTTTCCTGCTCCAAAAAGTGTTCTGTCTTGATTTCGATTGGCCTCTGATGTATATATTGTAGTCTTGAGTACTTTCTGCTTTAGGTAGAACATTACAAGCTACATCTAGTATTTATACTAATTCTCCCAAAATTTTTAATATTTCAAAAATTTGCTTAATTTTAGAGCCATTTTCCTTTAACTTAGCTTATAACCTGAAACTGATTTCTCAAAAATATAAACCGAAAATTATGTAACTACTGACAAATTTTTTAAAAATGTTTTCTGATATTATTGAAAGTTTAATGACATAAGAACCAGACATATTTATTTTAATTAATAAGAAATTAGTTTATAAAAATGTAAATTTTCAAGAAATACAATGGAATATATTTTATTTACTGAAAATCATATTATTAAAGTTTAAGCGTTAAAGGATAAAAAAATGTCTAATATACTTATTTTTTAGGTATAGTGGACGGACACAGAAACAAGTATCTGAATTTGTGAGATAGAATAATTTCCAAAAAACACTATTTCAAAGGTAAGTAGAATTTACTTATATTAAAAGCAATCAATAGGTCCTATATTTTTGATCTGTCGCATTATTATTTAGCTGATTTGTTAATGACTTTCCACTAACTTTGCTATGAAATTATGAAAGCTTAGAAGTAACAGTAACCAGTTACGTAGGCATAAGCACGGGGTCGTTTTTAGAGTTTGCCGTTGTTGGGAGGTTGTTGTTAATGTAAGTATGACTATATAAATATACTGAAGGGCGATGCTTTGCAAGATCTAGCATATTAACTAAACACTCACTGTTTTAGTTCAAAATGTGAAATACAGTAGCTTATTTTATTCTGAACGATGTAGAAATGTGAAAAACTTCAAATGAACGAAAATTTGTGCTGCAATTGATTCTCAATCTGCCTAAGTTCTATCCTCATACAATAACTGAATAACTATATTTGTAACAGAAGTCAATCTGAACTCTTTTTTTTATCAGACTATTCCCCAAACTGCAGAACCAGCAATTGATGCTAAAAGATGGTATTATGGTTCGGTTTTTTGATTTTCAGCCTCGTGTTTTGCTTAAATTCAGTTTTTTAAGTTTTTTTTTACTAAAAAATCTAATAAGGAAAAGTAAATGGGCTAGTGAAAATGTGTATGAACTAGTAATATCTTTTAGTCACTTGTCTGATGTCCACTGATATAATTTCCTAATTTCTACTCCTATGTGTAGTTTTTTTTCATACAGGGTATCCGCACACCTGGAAAGTCATGGAATCTAATTTTTAAAATGGATTTTACCCCCCCCCCCCACTTTCATGGTGTTCCAAATATCTGAATTTGTAACAAAATCTCCACTCATAGTCATGTTTTATAAAAATATAAACTGTTTTTATCATGTTATTTAAAAATTATGGTGTTCTTTAAAAAAAATGAAAGTAAAAACATTGTTTCTAGAGCAAGTTATCTTTTTAACTTCTGTGATTTCAGAATTTTTATTATTCTTTATTTTTATTTTATCAATTTAAAATTCTAGCTGAAGCAAGCCAGTCATTTTCTTAAATTCTGAAATGAGAACTGAAGAATCAGGAGTATTTCTTTCCTTTCCGATGAACAAGAAAAGTATCTTTAGAATAGAATTCTGCAGAAAAAAGGGTTTTTTTTAAAATTTGTTTTCATATTTTTTTCAGCTTTTTTATTGCTTCAACTCTTTCTTTACTCTGTTTTTTAAATTTAAAATCTATAAATATGAAGATGCAGAGTATAACAGTTTTGGTTATACCTTTCATTTCAATTAATGTTGTTATAATGTTTTTTTTAAAATTTGGTTTGTCTTGTTTTTGTATAACTTTGTTAAGTCATGAAAAGTTCTTGGAATTAGACATGGTAAAGTCATGAAAAGCCATGGATTTGAAAATCTGAAACGTAGCAGATACCCTGTACATAATTTCATTTGATATTTGTTAAATATTTTACATTGAAATGTTCTATTGAATCCAGCAATTCTTAAGCTATCAACTGCTTAAATACTACCAGATGATTAGATAATATCATGTTTTATTGAATTTTTAAATTCAGTACAATTTATTTGATGTAATTTTATAAAAACCTGGACATTTTTAAAGGATATCGAAAAACGAAAAAATATTAAGTTGGAAGAAATTTTCTTCTGAGCACATAGTTGACACTTCGATATGAAATATTTTAGCTTCTTTTGAATGATGACACTTCGTTTGAAATATTTTAGCTTCTTCCATTTTTTTTGTTTAAAACTTATTTTATGTTTAAAAACATTTATATTACATTGACATTCACCATTAGTTTGTTAAATTACTAGAAACATAGCTTATCTTTACAAATTTTTATATGTGAATTTTCGAATTGCTCAAGGCTATCATTTAATTACAAATCTATCATTTTGTTTTAAGTATCTTACGTTTTTTATAGTTTCAGTTGAAAAGTTATTTTACTTAAACTGTATTTGATTTTTAAACTATTATTAGTTGCCACTGAGCTTACACCAGTGCAAGCTGAAGCTGTTCCTTTTCCTTAGGTTGAAGGACAGCGAGGTCTATATGGTCGTTTTTGTGACTGGATGACTTCTCAATTTTCTGAATTAGTTGAAGACTTTTCTGAGCCTGTTGTTGTTGATGATGATAGCGCAGAAGATGATTCTGAAGGAGATCCTTTGACAGTTCGAAAGTGAGCGCTATTTCTTTATTGCCTTCTATTTATAACAGTTCTATATTCATTTTAGTTATTCAAGAAATTTTATCGGCTTAGAGAAAAATATTTTATGCATAAGAAACTTATAATTTTTTAAAATGCACCATTAAGATAATAATTTTGATATTGATACGGTTATGGTGTTTCTTTTTTTCTCTTAGGATTCATTAGTATTTTTCTCAGTGGAACCTGGGGAACATTTTCTTGGTGCACAAAGTTTTGTATTCATCAGCCAAGGTTTATACTTAAAGGGAAAAAAATTTACTTCATAATTTATTTTATTTCTTCAGAAGTTTACAATTCTATTAAAATTTCCTTATATTAAAATTTCCTAAGTTTATTTCCTTCTACTTAATCACAATGCTAACTAGTTATGTAGAAGTGCAAAATCTTTTTTTAATAAAAAATTGCTACATTGCAAAGTAAAATTTTCAGTCATTTGTAGGGAATTTCTGTTTTTTCCTCAGATGCAATTGAGTACAGCACTACAAAGTAAGATTTTCAGTTATTTGTAGGGAATTTCCCTTTTCTTCTCAGATGCAATTGCAATTATTTTTTTAATTGCGATATCTTCCATTTTTAGCATGTCTTAAATAATAACTATGAATTAGTTTTATTAAAAAAGGCACATAATTACTTATTACCTAAAATCAGTGAACATAAAATTTATTAAAGGACTAATTATTAATTTCCAAAGTAAGTTCATCTCTTAAAAATTTTAAGTATATTTAAAAAGGAAAAGTGCAATGTTCTTGTTTCTTCCTTGCATCCACTTTGATGTGTTTCATTTTGCTGTAAGCGATTGAGAAGCACATTCTCAATCACAGGCAATCCTGAAACAGAAAATTAATTTGTCAGCAAGACCAATAATATCTGTAGGATTGTATGGTTTCTCTCTGTTGTGCTTTTATAATTGTCTCTTAAAGGGTGTAATAACCAGAAAACTTTAAATTAGCTCTAAAGTATCTAATATCTGTTCCCTATAACATCTAAAATGACTAAAGCACAATCATTTCATAATATCTATTAGTTATGATGTGCTAAAACTGGTTGGTGAAAAATTATATGTGTTTAGTAAAATTATTATTCGATATAAACTTTGTCAATTTTCATGAAAGGACACATTTGGTATTAACTTTTATGAATTACAAGTCTTCGATTTCAATTTTTTTCTATTTTAAAAGTTTTTATTTTCATGCATATTTTAACTTAATTCTTCTTCTTCTTAAAACTTTTACAATGTTCTATTAATAAACTTAGTTTTATCTGTATTATTAAGTCTTTTTTTTTAAAAAAAATTATATTTTTGAGGCTTCAGGACAACTTAGTGCGATTTAGTAAGCATAATTTCTTTTACTTTTTTTATACCAAATAAATGAAAGGCTTGTGGCAAAATAGTGCTAAATCACATTTTTTCCATCTTGCCACTCTAAAGCCTGGTTGGCAGGGCACTGGGCCCATGTCCAAGAGGGCGTGGGTTCGAGCCTAAAACACAAAGTCATCCATGTTCCCATAGCAAATCATACCTCTGGGGGTACTGATCCAGGAGTTTCCTTGTCTTCTGGATTGGTTCAAAATTACACGGCTACGGAGTGGAATATTAGTACTCGTAAAAAACCCAAAATTTTGTCGGCTGTTCAACGACGGTTATATATTGGTCTCTCAATAAGGTGATCTGGGTTTGAATACCAGCGATGGCTTGTCGATACAAATTCTTCACCTGGCTTGCACTGACCACAGTGTTGACATAAAATATCCTCTATGGTAGATGGATCATGTGTTAGAGTTCTCTTGCTGCCAGGCTAACCATGCAGGGTTTCGTGTTTTTCCTTTCTCAAGTGCAGGTTCAAAAAGTCCTCCTTGAAAGTAAATTTCTCCCAAAATCTGATTCAGGATTTTCCTTGCCTTCTGGAATGGGTTCAAAATAGCAAGGTTACGGAGTTGAACATTGGAAGTCATAAACTTAAAATTGGGGGCGGCTGTTCAATGCCAAATTGCCCTTGCCAATTTTGCTTCAATGTTGAGAATTGTTTGATTCAAGCATCAATAAAATATATCAAATATTTTAAAGGAGAAAAATTAATTTTCCTGTGGGATTGAAGTGAAAATTCTGCAGACATTGATTTGTGATCCTGTCTAATTTTTATCCTGTGGTGCCAGGATTGCATTCCCCGACATATACCCTGCTTCATCTAAAATATGTCTCGAGCAATATGCTCAGATACATCAACTTGTTTGATGTGATATAACTAGATTCTCGTGATTATTATTATATATTTGGAATTTTTTTAAAAATAAAATTTGCTAAATGCTGCAACTGAAAAGTCAAATGGTTTGGCTTATTTTGTCACTTTCTAAATAATTCTACTTTCGAGGTAACCTAAACTTTTATCTAGTGTCTGTTAAATATCCAAACATAGAGTCTCTGGGTAAAAATTATACTAAATTTTCTTTGCTCTTAAATAAGGTGGGGAAAACAGGTTTTTTTATACATTTAAAATTTTGCAATAAGCTGGGACTAGTTTTCAGAAAGTTAATATTCAAATCAGAAATTTTTGGTTAGTTATGCAATTAAAATAATTTAATTTGCAATACATTTGAAAATTGATTGAAAAAGTACCATCAAGGTAGTTTAATATGATTTCTTACTATAATTTGCATATGGTTTGGAATAAATTTTCCTTTTATGTTGTGTTACATATAAATTCTTTTTTAGGTAATGCTTCAAAACCTGTCTCTTCTCTTGCTGATAGCTTCGTATCGTTGCTACGGTGGAATTCACCAGGAACAACATTGTTAGCATTTTTTGTAAGTTTACTATTGCTTACTGAATTATTTAAGCTAAGTTTTGTATACGTTGTCAAATGCATTTTGATTATTATTAATGACCCTTTAAAGTAATGACTTGAATGTTACTAAAACAATAAGAATTTTTTTTTAATTTTCATCAAAATTGGTTTCTTTTATAATCATTAACATACTGTCTGCAAAACTAGTAAACATAAAAAGCACAACATTGAGACATTTCTTTGTAACTATTATGTAGAGTTTGCAAACTTAAAACTATTGGGATATTTTNATACTTGTTGCTAATGTAATTTTTTGTGTTTTGTGTGTTCTATGTATGTTTTGTCAGTAGAATGTTTGTTCTACTCTCGTGTGCCCTGAATAAGGCGGGTCGAGGTATAAATAAACAATAACTCTTTTCACATGTTACGTTGTCAAATGCATTTTGATTATTATTAATGACCCTTTAAAGTAATGACTTGAATGTTACTAAAACAATAAGAATTTTTTTTTTAATTTTCATCAAAATTGGTTTCTTTTATAATCATTAATATACTGTCTGCAAAACTAGTAAACATAAAAAGCACTACATTGAGACATTTCTTTGTAACTATTATGTAGAGTTTGCAAACTTAAAACTATTGGGATATTTTCCTCATAACTAAGCAAAGGACTGATCTTAGATATGAATGCACAACTTGCAGCTACCAAATACTCAATATTCAGCCCCCCGACCTTCTAAAATTTATTAAAAAACTGCATAACAGGTGTATGAACAATTTATAATTGTTCATCATACTAGTTTCGATAATTTTTTCTTTTATTGTGTATAACTTAAAAACGAACTTTTTTTTATAACATATGCAACTTATTATAATCTAATTTTAATAAAATGTAATTTTACATAATTTAATTTTAATCTTTAGTTTAATTTAGTTAAAAATGACTATGTGTGCAAAAAATGCTAATTTTTGTTAATTTAAAAAATTACACATACAATGTAAGCATCTATAATTTGTTATATTTTGTTTTTAAATTTTTAAGACAAGTTGATTTTTTATTGACTGAGGAATAATCAATAGATATTACAACTCCTGAAAGTTATATTATTTTTCAGAATCCTAACCCCTTAAGAGGGAAAATTCCTAAATGTTTTGGGAGGTGGGAGATAGTTTTAAATTATCTCAGATGATGGCTTACATTCTCTCTTTGAAGCTTTTATTCATGTGCCTTTATGAATTGTTCATTTAAGGGAACCAAATGACGAATACTTCATAAACTACATTAAGTTAAAAGAATTACTTAGATACAAATTGAAATATGGGTGTTGTTGATTTTGATAATTGATGAACATTTCCAATTATCTAGGAAAGAAACTTGTATTGTTTTAAATACTGCAATATACAAATCATGATTTTTATAAAAGGAATTAAATAGGCTTTCAAATAAAAATATTCAAAAAAAAAAATTTTTACACAAAATTTGAAGTATGTTTACTTTTTACTATGAAATAATGCAGATTAATTTTTTAAAAAAAATGCGGATTTTATGAAATAACTGAATGATACAGAAAAAAATGCTTTATTGATGCTTTCTCATAAAAGAAAAATATATTATTCATTATATCTTATTAAGCCTTATTTATTGAATCTTATTTGTCATTTATGTATCCTTATATACATTAAAGTGAGAACAAATGATGTTCATTATCGTGTGCCCATCACCATTTCTGTATACTTTTTTGGCTTGTTGAGTCAATTACTAGTTAAAGGTATGTTCAGTTATTCTTTATCAACAAACTTGTTTAGTTTCTGACTAGTTACCCTGAAAATTAAAAGGCATATTTATTAGCCAGATAAACATATTTGTTAGCCCAACGTGCTAACTACTACAACACCATTTTAATTTGAATTGCACAGATACAAAAACTACACATTTTTGTTTCAATATCCAGCATATTAATATTTTTAACAGTCAACAAACTTAAAATTGTAGCTGGTCATCTCACTTCCTCATGCTTTATAAAGAAAACTTTTTGTCTTTAGCTGTCAGAGTAGAACATCTCAGCTACTCATTTCTATTATTCTTTTCATAAATAACTTGTAAATAATATATATTAAGCGTCAAGATAAAAAATAAATAGATTAATAAATTATTCTAAATGTCAGAAAAGTCAGAGGTATAAATCATTCTGAATGATAGAAAAATCATAAGTACTATTAATCATTTTAAATTGTCTGAATATCACAAGGCTATGTTTGATGGGAATATGTCCTGTTTATTGTTGTTACTATAGGGAAAGGGACTGGAACTCTTATTTCAATTATTGATATTATACAATACCTTTATTATAGCCTTCGGTATAGTGTTCCTCTCCCAATGAGGAGACCCTGGTTCAAATCCTGGCAGTTGCTGGTTGATACGAATTCTGCTCTCTTCTCGCACTGACCACAGTGCTGATATAAAATATCCTCAGTGGTAGGCAGATTATGGGATAGAATCCCCTTGCCATTGGGCTAACCATGAGAGGTTTTTGTGGTTTTCTTCACCATGTAATGCAAATGTGAGCTAGTTCCCTCAAAAAGTCCTGCCAGAAGGCTTATTTGTCCAAATGCTTGATCCAAGAGTTTCCTTGTCTTCTGGGAACTTCAGAATTACAAGGCTATAAAGTTGAACATTGACTGTCATAAACTCAGAATTGGGTCGATGAAAAAAATACTTTTAAATTTTAAAAGTTTTTCATGGACATATTTCAAGTAATAGTTTGTCGCAGTTATTGTATCGTATAATTTATGTTAATTTTCCATTCTATTTGCATGGGCTGTTTACTTTTTATAGGTTTATATAAATACTGTGTATCATGGTTGACTTCTTTCCTTGATCCTCTTCTTATTTATATCTCAACTACATCACGTATAGTATTTCTTTCTTTCCCTTCTAACACAATGCCCATGAAGTTTTATTTATTTTTTTATTTATTTTTTTTGATTTTTAACTAATCCTTTTTGATGTACACTAACAATGTAAATTTCTTACATCCATTTTTTTAATGAAATGTCAAATTTTGTATGTAAAAAAGGTTTCGTAATTCTTGTGCTGAAAATATTTAGCTGCATGTTAAGTCATTTTGGTATTTATAATTGTAAGTGAACTTCACAGAATACTAGTTAATATTCTGTTGAAAATTTAATTATTTTGTTCGCTATCAATAGTTTTGTGTGCATAATATGGTTGTAATCTGCTCAATATTCTAAATTCGAATTGTGATGAAAAAATAATGATCTTTTCTTTACAAGTTAAATTTCTTTTTCAATAAATAGATATTATTAATTCTTGGAACATAAATATAAATTTGCTCTGAAATTAAGAATCTTAACTTTTTATAAAAATGGCAGTTAAAGAAATTCATTTGTCTGTAAAAAAATAAAAATAATCTATAGAATGGAAAGGTGATTCAATTATTTAATTTCCTTATTTATTGAGTAAGTTAATGTTTTTGAATACTTTTTTTATTTTTTTTTATTCTTTGAAATATTTTGGATTGAACCAAATTTTAAAATTGTAAGTATTTTAAAACTTTTTGAAAGTTCAAGCTTTAAAAATGCTTACAAAAAAAAAGAGCATTTAAAACCTATTTGCTTAATTTATTGAATCACATTTTAATTAATGCGTGAAAGGAAACAAAAAAATTCAAAAAGACTACTTTGTTACCTAGTGAATATAGATATTCTAGCCATATAGGTTCGGATCTTGTGGGTTGATATGGAGGAGGTTGAAAATGAGTAAGTTAATTTTAAACTAAACTTAAACAAGCCTGCTATAAAGAACAAGTAAATTATACTTTTAGCATGAAAATTTTAAGTATGCATGAAAAAAGTTGTGATTCAACTCGTATTGAAATTAATTAAATAAATTTCACATTTTCTCAATTTTTTTCTATGTCTACATTTTTCTATAGTTGCATAACAAATTCTACTATACTTTGCATGGATTAGATCTTTAGTATGTATAAAAGTTTTATTTTTATATTTAAACCAAAAGAAATAATATTGCTACTGTGCTTAAAATAGTGATTTTCATTTATGTGACACTTGTGGACATTTTTTAACTCAATGAATTAAATAATTTAAATATTTGTGAAAATGTTTTGACAAATATAAAATACATACTAAGCACACCTCTCTGGTGTGTAGCATGTAATGAAAAATTTCATTGAAGAATTATAAATAAAGAAGAAAATCAGTAATAGTAATTATAATATGAAGGTACTGTCCGCTAATAAAGCATTAAAAAGTTCCCCATTCATATTTTTGTATAAAAAGAAAAAAAAATTGCAATTACTTTGAAAAACTTTTTTGAGCAAACAAAAGTGTATATATGACCAAACTTTTCTTGTTTTTGTACATTCTCTTTGGACAAATAAAGTAACTGAACTTTTTGTTCTACAAATTATGCAATGACTAAGGCTCTATAAATGCAGAATTATTTTTCAAGTTGCACATCAAAGGTACAGTTATCTTTAAAACTATGCATACAGCTTGCAAAACTGAAAACAAAAATAAAGAACTCAATTTTAAAAAAATAAATAATTTTTTCCTTATTTTGATTGCAATTTATCAATTATTTCAACAAAGATTTCCTTGATATATCTTCTTTGAGATTATCTCTGAATTTCTGAATCTGATTAAGTAGATGCTCGAACATTCTTTAACATAGTCTTTATATGCAACATACTTGAGTTATATAAATTGCAGATTAACTATGTATTCCAAAAATGAGTCAGTGCCCATCTTTTTGAATATATGTTCATTACTAGTTTTTAAGTAGCATTTATTCTGGATCAAAAATTCATAAAGTTTAATACTGTTTTAAAAAAAATATACTAAGTTGCATCAGAAAAAAAAACTGCTAAGACAAGTATATTTGTTGATTGAAAATATTTTGATATAAAATAATAATTATGCTGATATTCAGCAATTATGTGGATAATTGTAATGTGGTTCTTCATATCTGCTGCATCTTAGCACAATTCGTAGAGCAATAATAAATAACAATAATTTGTGAGTTGAGTAATATTTGGAAACTTATTTTAACACATTTCTGGGTTTTTGTGGTTTTTCTCTCCATGTAAAACAAATGCAAGTTAGTTCCAGCCAAAAGTCCTTCACGAAATCTAGGTTCTCCCTGTTCTTGATCTAGGAGTTCCCTTGTCTTCTGAATTGGGATCAATCTTACAAGGCTATGGAGTTGAATATTGATAGTCATGAACTCAGAACAGGGTGGGCTATACAACACAGGTTATAAAGTAAAAATATGCTGAACAACTATTGAATATTCTTATGGTGCAGCAACCTTAATAATTTTCATTTGTTCAGTAGGCTGAATTTGTGAAATTTTTTGCAAAATGTTTTACATTTGTACTACTATTAGGTGTGCGTTTAAGAAGCCACTGTCTTAAAATATATTTTTTATACTCTTCTTCTTTATTTTGTAAAGTCTTTCCTATTTATATGTAATGGTTTCCAAAAATATTTTTACTTCTATTTGCATTTATGTTTAATCAAAAATACTTTTTAATTAATTGTTAAATTAATAAACTCTAATTTGTTAGTTATTCCATATTAATTACTTATGATATATTGTTTCCAATTTAATGCTAGAATCCTTTTTCAGAGGATGGTTTTTGAGTCTGAACATTTCTAGGAAGCAGGATCATGAGGTAAAGCTTGTTACATTTTTCGTTTAATATCGGAAACAATGTATCATAATTGGGTTTGTTATATGGTATATTTTTACTATTAAATATTGATAAAACTGAAATATTAAAAAAAAGTATTTACAATGGGGCCTTCGGCAAGAAGAACATGTAGAATGTGGTAAAAATAGTTTAAAATTTTATTGAAATGTTTGTTTATATGAACATGAGTAGCATATAACAATAGTAGTTGTAGAAAAACATATAACCAACACCTACGACTTATTTTTCTTATGCTAAATGGTGTTTTATGCAACAACAAAAAAGTTACAAAATTGTTTCTCCCCTTTTAACATCTTTATAATTTGTACTAGTTTTTATACCTTACTTTTTGTGGTTATTTCAAATTAAATGCATAATCTCAAATTTTCTTTTGAACCTCTAATTTGAGATTGATTATTGGGGAACCATATAACTGTGAGTTGGGAAGGGTTATAGTTTTATGATAATTAAAGTAAGAGAGGGTGAATTGGCTATCTTAATGCATATGAAGTTCTCATAATAATCTAATTTTAATTAAGGTGGACCCATTCATTAATTTGTATACCTAAAATATTATTTTTAGATAAAAGTGTAATATTTTTAAGTGAACAAACAAAAGTAAAAATTTGGCAAAAATAAAATAATAAGTACAAGTTACAATTAAATTATATTCCTTCATATTAAAATGTAATAAATTCTTCATTCAGATTGGCTGCCCAAATTTAATTTTTTTTTAAGAAAAAAATCTGAGTAGAAACAAATTGAATTATTGCATTCATAAATTTTAAGCAATAAAAAATACTATTTTTGGAGGGCCTAAAAATTGTTTTGTAGAAATATTTGTTATTTTGCTCCATTTTTAATGAATTTATTGTAAATTGTTTCTGAGGCTTTTCATGAAGGACAGCTTTGTTATGATCTTTAGCTATATTCTTTAAACTTAAAAAAAAAGAAAAAAAACATGATCTCCATAAACTTGGAAATATTGTGAGAAATTCAAAAATAAAAATTTGCTTTCAAAATCTAGAAGTTAAAATTTTGACTTTCAGGAAACCTTTCGCTGTAGTGTACGTGTTTACAATTATGAGTAATCTATAAAAAGATAAGTTTGTTTAATTAGAAAGACTTTAAATTGTACTCTTATTGCATCATTAATAATTTATATTAAATAAATTTACATTTAATAAAATTATATTTTGGATTTGTTTCCTGGTTTTCTATTTTGAATGAAATAATGGATCATTACAGTCATAATATAACTCAATATTTTCTGTCACTGTAGGTGACTTCCTACTGCATAGAATATCATTTATATTTATAAAGATTTTTTTGAATTGTGACAAATAGATAGTATTAGTTTTTAATTTTTTTAAATAATTTGTTTTTTTACCAGAAAGATGTAATTTTGCTTTTAAAATGTTTGTCTCCTTTAATTACTTATTTGAGAAATTAAAGAAAAATTAATTTTGTAATGTGTTTTAGGAAGGAGATTTGGTGGTGTCTGATAAGTTTCAACTGGTTCTTCATGTAGCTAGGAAAGTACAGGTTTGTTGACTGCACATTTGCTCCCATTTTCTTTACTATGATAGTTAACTAACATTAATATTTATATTATTTTCTACATAGAGAATAAATTAGTTCATATGACTGATTGTGTAGCGAAGATTAAAAAGTAAGCATCTCTTTTTCTTTTCATTTTTAGAATTCTATAAATTTTTTCTATCAAAAGTTTTACTTATAACTCCTCCCTACTTCTAGATATTCTATATAATATCTGATATATTTTGTTTTATAAAGCTTGAACATATATTTTATTTCATATATATTATGTTCAGAGAAATGTTTCAGGTCTTGGGTGATTAGAATTGAAAAATTTTTTTCTCTCTGAAAATATTTTTGTTTTAAAGCACGTAAATTCGCTTAACTGGGATTTAAATGTGCATTAACTGTGTTATTAATTGCTGTTTTAAACAATTTTAAAAGAAAAAAAAGTTCATTTTAATTTTTCTTGATAAATTGCATTTCTGGTAAGATGAAAATCCAAATTTTCAATTGAATTTTTAATTATTAATATTCTGATGTCATATATTATAATTTTAAAATATCTTAATCTAAATTTGTAAAACAGTGAAATAATTCCTTACTAAAATAGATTTTTTTCACTGTATGTTATTGAATAGTATTTACCATTATTTATATTTTTATAAAGGGTGCCCTAAAACTTGTTCTAGATTTGAATTTCATATTTTATGCATTAATCAAGAAATAAATTTTCTCTAAAAACCTGTGTTTTCTGTTGAAATTGAATATGTGAATTTTAGGGCTCCCTTAAGCATTTAATTCTAATTGCAGATGTTTAATTATAACAAGTGATATTTTTTGAACTGCAAACAGTGTTTGTGCAGTGATTTTGTTGTTGTGAAGTAATTTATTAGCATGTTTATATAATTTTCTATTTTTAATTTTCAAATGTTTAATTTTTATACTTCTCAGTGAAAGTACAAAAAAATTTTTTTAATGCAATAAGAATTACATTGCTATAATTTTGACAAGCACACTTATTTATTAGTATAAAATGTGCTAATTATTAGTATAAAATGTGCTAATTCATGCGATTTTCAATCTTACAGTTTGATGTTATGGCAGCAGATGGAAGTAACTGCCCATTTATATTTTGTATTCATTGTTAACTTCATTGCATCATGTATTTTTTCTGCGCATCAGTTATTCACTGTAATGGGTGAGCATTAATTATTTTAATATTGTTTGTAAACTCATGTTACTTTTTTTGGCTGCAATAAATGTTCAAATTTTTTTAACTTATTGTTTTAATTTTTAATTTAATGAAACCATGTTCTTTTGAACTTGATTTTGATAAAACTTGAACAAGAACTTGATTTTGATAATATAAACATGACAAATAAATATTTTATATATTTTTATTAAAAAAAATTATTATTTTTTTAAAAATGAATACAATTGAACGATTTTGACATACATGAATGTTGAGTTAAGTTTTTAACCCAAAATGTCTCATACTTAAAACTTCTGCTCAATCGAAAAAAAAATAATAAATACTTTTCAGAATTGAAAATCTCTTGAATTTAAGTTTTATTAAGAAAATCGATTTCATTAGTAAATTTGATGGTTGATAAATTCTGATCAAAGATATTAAGATAAAAAATAGCTTGAATAACTACCAACATTTGTATACTCTTATATGTGATGATAATAATATGGTTATACATATGTGTGTATGTATATTTAAAACTTGATGGTTAAATTTGTATCTCTCTAATTAAAGATTAGATACAAATTTGTTAAATTTGTATCTAAATTTTAAATAACATATTTTATAGAAATTAATATAATTAAAAACCTGAGTTTTCTTTAAATTCTTTATACTTTATTATTAGATTAATGCATTTTTAGCTATGAAAAGCTTATAGAATGACCAGATTTATTNTTTTAGGGCTCCCTTAATCATTTAATTCTAATTGCAGATGTTTAATTATAACAAGTGATATATTTTGAACTTCAGACAGTGTTTGTACAGTGATTTTGTTATTGTGAAGTAATTTATTAGCATGTTTATATAATTTTCTATTATTTTTTATTTGAAATGTTTAATTTTCGTACTTCTCAGTGAAAGTACAAAAAAAGTAACATTTTAATGCAATAAGAATTACATTGCTATAATTTTGACAAGCACACTTATTTATTAGTATAAAATGTGCTAATTATTAGTATACAATGTGCTAATTATTTGTATAAAATGTACTAATTCATGCAATTTTTAATCTTACAGTTTGATGGTATGGCAGCAGACGGAAGTAACTGCCCATTTATATTTTGTATTCATTGTTGGCTTCATTGCATCATGTATTTTTTCTGCGCATCAGTTATTTACTGTAATGGGTGAGCATTAATTATTTTAATATTGTTTGCAAACTCTTGTTACTTTTTTTGGCTGCAATAAATGTTCAAATTTTTTGAACTTAATGTTTTAATTTTTAATTTAATGAAACCATTTTCTTTTGAAAACCTAACTTAATATTAATTTTTTTTTTTAAATTTAAATTTCAAGAATTTGATTTTGATTAAATAAACATGACAAATAAATATTTTATATATTTTCATAAAAAAAATATTTTTTTTTTTAAAAATGAATACAACTAAACGATTTTGATATATATGAATGTTGAGTTAAGTTTTTAACACAAAATGTCTCATACTTAAAACTTCTGCTCAATCGAGAAAAAATAATAAATATTTTTCAGAATTGAAAATCTCTTGAACTTAAGTTTTATTAAGAAAATCGATTTCATTAGTGAATTTGATGGTTAATAAATTCTAATCAAAGATATTAAGATAAAAAATAGCTTGAATAACTGCCAACATTTGTATACTCTTATATGTGATGATAATAATATGGTTATACATATGTGTGTATGTATATATAAAAGTTGATGGTTAAATTTGTATCTCTCTGATTAAAAATTAGATACAAATTTGTTAAAATTGTATCTAAATTTTAACATAGTTTATAGAAATTAATATAATTAAAAACCTGAGTTTTTTTAAAATTCTTTATACTTTACTGTTAGATTAATGAATTTTTAGCTATGAAAAGCTTATAGAATGACCAGATTTATTGACTTTCTTAAGAATTCAATTCAAATCAATTCATTTCTTCTACCCAAGTATATCTNTAAAAACATAAGTTTTTTTTAAATTCTTTATACTTTACTGTTGGATTAATGAATTTTTAGCTATGAAAAGCTTATAGAATGACCAGATTTATTGACTTTCTTAAGAATTCAATTCAAATCAATTCATTTCTTCTACCCAAGTATATCTTTCTCTCCCAACTACTATCTTCAATTCTTTGATATCAGTGAGCAAGTTTTAATTATTTCTGTACTATTATACTATTTGTTTTCAGAACTAACTTAAAACTAGCATCAGGACTGGAAACTGTTAATATTATTTTCTGCTGTAAAAAGTACTTCTACATTATTATTGTTCCAATGCATTTTCCTTAAGAATTGTGGCTGCCCAGTTACTATTACAATTTTTTTAAATTCAGTTTTGGTTTAATTTTTTTGCGAATTAACATAAGAAATGTATTTACCAGCTTCATACCCATTATTTAAACACTAGCGTGAACCTATTTTTAAATTTTAAAGAATTTCCTTATTTATTGTGAAAGTCTGAAATCTGTTAGGAAATTAGGAAAAAAATGGCTTGGATACAGCTGAACCTTTATATAAATAAAACATGAATGGGTGAAACAATATATAAATGAAACAATGTATAAAAATAGATGAAAAACCTATTAGGAAAGATATGACTACTGTAACTTTAAATTATAATAATTTTTTGTACCAAGTTTATATAGATATCAGTGGTAATCACTTTTTTTATAGCTGTGATTTGTTTGTAATCTGGCTGCAAGAAAGTATCATCCAAGCTTTAAATAGTTAATCTGTATATTGTAAGTTCATTTTTATGTTTTATGCTCACTATACTTTAATTTTCAGGATTTTGTATGGGCGTTAAATTCTTCATCATCAATTACATTTTTTTCTGATTTCCACGAGTGCAACAAAGGCATGATACAACAGCTAGATTGTGGAAAACTTTGCCAACTAATGCACCGCTGGAGAGGAGGCATAATAGAGCAGAATTGGATATGGTATTGTCTTACTGTTATAAAAATTGTAGATTTTTTAATATTTATTTTAAAATTTTAGTTTTATATTGATTATTTCTTTATAAGAAAATTTTTGCTTCTTGTGGCTTTGCTTAGTAACTTCTGAATGGCCGAACTAATTTTCAACATTTTGCTCTACTTTTTGTATCTTGTTTTGCCATATTTTTCATTTTCATGTTTTGAGTTGTATGTATACAATGTAGCAAAAAATGTTTCTAAAAGACTCGTTTTTAAGTATCTCTAAGTCAACTGTTACAAAAATAGCATTGTTGTAGTTTGTTTATATTTTTAATTTTACAAAAAATGGAAGTAAACGAAATCTAGAAAGAAACTTAATTATCTGCTTAAAACTCACAGATTATTCTAGATCATCTTTAAGAGGTTAGAGAAAAATTTTATGATTAATAAGGAGGCTCTTATAAATCACAATTTTAAAACTTACTACTGCTTGCTAACCTGGTAACTGTTTGTGTAGTAAAACTATCTGAAAGATAGCTTTTCTGGCTATTTTTGCAGTAGTCTTGTTTAATATCCCATCCTTTATACTTAAATATTTTTTTTACTTTATTTTAATTACATTAAATGGGTATAGTATTCTTTTAATTATTCTGTGTTTAAAAACTTGTGATAGATAAAAATTAATATCTATTATATATAATTCTCTTA